CAAATCAAGCAACTTCAGATTAATCATCAATGGTGTGGTAAACAATTATGCTCTCTATTGGGAAAAACTTAAAGGACATATTGAACTCTATGATAGACATTTTCTTCCATCCTAAAGGTTCATTATGTATGTATTATGAGAATCAAATCTAATATTAAACTACATGATTAATTAAGTAATGAACGACAATTAGTTATATTTATTTCTTTTTTCATCCAATAATTATATGCGATGTTTATATCATATTTTTTTTCTCTTTTCATGGAGGTCTAAACACATTATGCATAGTTGGATCACTTTCAAAAATATTAGGTGCATAACTAAAGTACAAAACACTCATTTCATGTATTTCAAATTATCTATTGTATCCATCACATATATCATATTTGTCGACAAAATTCTTCTGACCAACATGTCGGGCCCTGTGCTAGTTAGATTAAGATGGAGGGTGGAGTTTTTATTTGGGTGATAGCGTATGTTACATCAAATAAATAATGTTTGTATTATTTGTAGAGAAAATTCAAAAATAATACATGGTAACTAATACAAGCATTCAATATTCTAACCATGCTTAAAAGTGCTTCAAAGTGAGATGTATACTAGGAAATTTTTTAAAACAAAAGAGGAATACGGGGAGTAATGCTTTCAAGCAGCGGCAGATCCAGAACACAGTATAGTATTGGGCCGCATTTAATTAGAAAATTATATACCGTAAAAAAACTAATGATAATTTTTTTTTACAATGTCAATTGTACACGAAGGTCATTTATAATAGCGAATGCATCAATAATGGAGTTTACATCCATACCAGTAACATACTCTGTTTCATATAAACTATTTCAGCAACCGACGAGAAATTCATCGATCATTTTGTTGCGCAAAGCAGCTTTCACATTTTCATTGTTGAAAATCTCTATTGTAGCCATTGAAACGATCAACGTCAATACTAGACAAATCAATCGACTAATTATCAATTTTCATTGTGTGTCAATACCTATATCCACCAGCTACTTTAGTAATTTTCAAGAGAACAAACCTCATATTTCTTGTGGTCCTTTACGTTTTAATCTTTTAGAATGGGTAAATTGCAAGTTTGGTTATTGAAAGTACTTAAAAAGTTCACTTTTGCCACTAAAATTAATTTATTTCATTCGTAGTCACTAAGATTAGTTCAACAGTTCAAGTTTGATAACTCTTCGTTAGTTGACTGCCACGTCAGATAAAGTTAACGGAGAGCGACCATGGGTGGAATAAAATAATTTTAGTGACAAACGTGAAATGTTTTTGTAATTCCAATGACCAAACTTACAATTTACCCCCTTTTAGAATTTTAGGTTTCATTGTATTTTCTTAGACAAAAATCTTTGGGGCTAGAATTTCTAGGCTAAATTTAGAGTAGTGATTCGAATATGTTCATATAAACCATTTTTCTAATTATACACAATCTTATCATAAAATAACACTGGATCGAATGCTTAACATCAAAAAATTCATAAGGCCTGTACCAACTCCGGATCCAGTAAAGGGCTGGGCCGTGGCCCGGGGTGGCCACCCCTGGATCCGCCACTGCTTTCAAGAAAGTTCTTCCACTAATGGCCCAAAATAATGTTCAAAGAAACAACCACATGTTCTTTGGAGAAACAAAAACCAGCCTATAGGTTATATATGTTTATAGAGTTAAGGGTTAATACCACTATAACACCCCGAACTATCACCAAAATGTCATTAGTGTCCTATTTTTTTCCTAATATTTTATTTATATCCTAAACTATTATTCCGTTATGCCTTGTTCACTTCTCATTTTGTTTTCTGTTTAAAAAATGAAAATCAAGAAACAAATGACAAAAAAACATGTCCAGTTGTCCATTTCGTTTTCGTTAAAAAATCAATTGTTACAAATGAGAAAACAGTGGGTAAACAATAAATAATCGGTTTCTGGAAACAAGAGGACGGGTTATTCCCGTTTCCCGCGGGAAAACGTCACTATTCATTAATGTGAGTCCGGGTTCGATTCACAAAGGGCGCAATTTTTTTGGGTCATAGATAGGTGTATATCATAGGTAGGTGTACAATGCAGTATGCTTACAAATATGTAGTAAATGAAATAATCAAATGCGGCGGTCGATAGCTAATCAATCCGTCGATAAAAGAGCATTTTTAGCCACTAAATGGGCAACCCTGTCAGTATCCTAATAATGCAACATAAGATATAAGCGGGTACACAACACGCGCCAAAGCCAGAGAAGCCGGAGAATATATCATCTTTGCTGATAGCAAAAGCAGAGCAACCATTCCATTCCCATGTGCATGTAAAACCCCCAAAAATTGTTTGCCAACACATAGCTGCACCACAAATGAAGCACCTTATTGACGCAACCGCAGAATAAACTATCGTCTCCAGCTCCTGCAAAACAAATAAAGCAAAATGCCCAACTAGGCCCATCTCATGAGAGCAGAGAATCTAAGGTTGCCAAAAACACCCACCAAAAAGAAGGCTCAACAGCCCAAATCCCTACACCCCGGTCCATTCATTGAACAATGGATATGATGAGAGCTTTTCATGGAAAAACAAATTAAAACTTAGGGTTAATTGCATGGTTGGTCACTGAGATTACAAAAAGTGTTCATGTTTGGTCACTATAAATATTTAAATATATTTTTGGTCACTAACTTTACAAAAACCGTTCATTTATGGTCACTCTCCGTTAGCTGCCGTCCAACGCCGTTAACGTCGTCCGTTAAGTGATGACGTGGCTGACGGATTTGTCTAATCAGCACTTTTTAACCCCAAAATTTAAATATTTATAGTGACCAAACATGAACGCTTTTTGTAATCTCAGTGACCAACCATGCAATTAACCCTTAAAACTTATCCATTCCCTTGATCGATCAGCTAGCAACACGTGCCAGCAAGAAACAAAGAACGAGACAGCTGGTCAGGACTCCACTCCACTGCCACGCGCCCTTCATGCAAACAACCTCCCTCTCGTGCAGTGGTGGAGCTAGAAAATTAGTTAAAGGGTGTCTTTTTCATTAAAAAAGCATAAATCACATAATAAAAAATTCAATTCTAAAAAAATAAAAGTCAACAACACAATACTCAAGAATCGTATAATATAATTACAAAATAATAGTTTGACGCACACAACTTACAGAAAGCCACGATGAGATTTGATATTTTAAAATTAAATCATTGTAGATCGAACACATTCCTTGTCCAAACTAGCAACACAAATTTTGTTCAACAAATGTCACCAATGCTTCATTCAACATCATTAATCGATTTCCAAAACCGTTTGCGGAGCAACCAAATCATTTTAATTAGAAGTTCAGGAAAAAACATATATTTTAAATAAAACAGAATACATATTGTGATCACCAAACCTATTTGATCGAGATCATATGGAAGGGCATACACCATGGTTGTCATGCCGGTGGCATGCCGGCCGGTTGAACCAGGTTCAACCGGTACCGGTGGTGAAACCGGCTGGAATGCCACCGGTATGATGCTTCGGTCAATTCCGGTCAAAACCGGTCAAAACCGGAAATTCCGGATGGTCCAACCGGTTTCAGATTCCAGTGACTTACCATAAATGCTGACGTTTTGGACTTGCTGTTAAAAAAAATAAAAGCCCAAATCTTTTCTCCCTTTCGCAAGTTGCCCAAGCCCAATCGGTGGGTTGTTTGTTACTTTGTTATTCCCCAACCAGACAACCACTACGAGATTGCCCACTGTAATCTCAACCAAGTTTGAATTGCTAAGCTTTTTCTAATCTCAACCAAGTTTGAGTTACTTGGTTAGTTGCTGCTTTGCTCCGGAATTCCACCTATAACTGTAATTGATAATTGGCTAGGCTATAGAATTAGCAATAGAATTGGTGTGCTGCATGAGGTTCATGTTATAGTGACTGTTGGCTTAGTATATTCATAAGATGAAATTTTATTAAAACCGGTATAAACCGGCATGAACTGGTTCTACCACTGGTAGAACCATTCCACTTGTGAAACCGGCGTACCGGCATAAACCGGTTTGACAACCTTGGCATACAAATTAGGACAAATGATTGGCTCAAATCTTCATACTTGCTTTTCTTGTTGGTTTTTTTTTTTTTGTCCAACTCCGCCAAGGGGGCTGCAAAGCACCCCCAAGCTTGCTCCCGTGAACCCGTCTCCTTCTACAAACAATCGGCCGGCGCCGGTGGATCGCAAAGCCAACCCTGCATCCTCAAGCTCCTTCCTAAAATCCTGTAGAAAAGAGGCAACTGCAGAAAGGAAAATCCAAGATTGCTAAAGTCAAACGGCAGAACAAAAGGAACCATAGATAACAGAACACAATTGAAACCTAGAAAAAACAAGGAAAAAACAAGAAGGATCCTACATAATAGCAAATAAAAGAAAGGAATAGCGCAGGCAAAAGAAATTGGTAGAGAGATTCGCTCTGAATCGGCAGCTGTGGAGCAGCCCAGATGGATCTGGGAATGAAAGGAACGCAGCTACTGAAGCCAGAGATCGGCTGAAACGGGCAGAGACGGTGAGGGCGGCTTAACTTCCTCGATCTCCGACGGCGAAACGGGTGGGCTGTCCGTCAGTGAACCGTTGAGTGGGCCGCTGCTGTGTGAAAGCCTGCCGGAAGTTCTCGGCGAGACCTCTTGCGAGTGAGACAGGATACGGTCAATGACCATCTGGGAGGTCTCGGAGGAAGCGAAGGAGAAAAGGTTGCTGCGCGGCGTCGACGTCGGCGGTGATGTCTTCCGGTGCGTTGGCGGCGGGGTTGGAGAAAAGCAGTTGGTGGTGTGGCGGTGGGGCCAGAGCTTTGGAGATTTCGGAGGCGGAGAGGCTCCAGGAGCGGGAGAGGAAGCTATGAGGATTAGCCGCAGTTTTTTTTTTATTTCCGCCCTTTTCCTCCGTGCTCCAAAACACGTCGTTTTACTCCACCACCCACCCTAAGACTAAAAACCTCTCGCTTGCTCCATCTCCATCTCCATCTCCATCTCCTTATCCCTCCAGCAAGCCCGCCCCATCATCTTTACCGCCATCATCGTTTCTCCATCGCCAGCCCCGCGCCGCCGTCATCTGCCCAGACCACCACCCCATCATCTTTTCTTCCTCGCCAGCCCCGCGCCGCCATCATCAACCAAGAAGCTCCAGCCGAATCCGCCGTTTACCAGAGAATTGAATTTTTCAAGTGAGTTATTATTGAAAATTTCATCGTCCAGAGACCTACCTCGAATAATGACTACTCTCCCTTGCATAGACTAATTAATCAATCTCTCATGTGGGTCTAAGACTAGGCAGCTTTCACCCAACCCTCTCAACTTCAATGAGTATTTTCTCTCAAAATTACCCATGTGCGTGCCTTCAATTTTGTGGAACTCCATGATTGGAGATTCGATCCATCCAGTACTGAGTTCTCCAGTTGTTCGTTTGTTTGGCTCAATTATGGATGAATGATATCTGTGGAACTCAACAATGGTGACATGTATGGTTTGTGCTCTGATATTTGGGGACGAACATGGAGCAGTTCCTAGACGGATTGAAGCATTTGTGTGCGAGCAATTGCGAATTGTTGTATTGCTGATTGGTATAAGCAACTCAGATGGCTGCAAGATCCAGAGGCTCTTGCAAGAGAAAACAGTTTGAAATTGTATAAGCTGAACTTATTTTAAATTTGATGTTGTGAGCACTTCTACTTTGTTATATAACTTTAGTGTTTTAATGTACAACTCAAAGTTGTACCATAACATTAAATGTATAAGTTTAGGTTGTACTATAAAGCAATTTGTACCATTATATTATGGTACAACTTTACAACTTGAAGTTGTACCATCACATAAAAGTACAAGTTCAAGTTGTACCATAAAAAAATTGTACAAAAAGTATAGGTACAATATGAAGTTGTACCATAACATAAATGTACAATTTCAAATTATACCATAAAGGCAAAAACCTATAACATCAATACTATATAGTATTGTAAAATTTCTCGTTGTACTAGTACTTTATTAATATAAGATGTTTTATTTGTATTGTGTTTATTTGTAGTTTAAAAATTATTTAATTTGAATTAAAAATTATAATCATGGTTAGGGTTGTATGATACTCAATGAAAAGAAAAACATATGAAGTAACTAAACAAGTTTTCGTTTTTAGAATTCTATTTCAAAACTATAAAATTTTCAGATAAACAAGGTTTCTTAATATTTTGTTTTTCGGAAAACGGTAGTTTCGTTTTCATTTTAATTTTGTTTTCGATTATTATATCTGATAATTTCGTTTTCATTTTAATTTTATTTTCTGTTATGATATCTAACAGAAATGGAATGACAAATAAACTGCCCATAAGGTTGAGTTGAAACTTGAGAGTCGACTCTCAGGATTGGAACAAGCGACGGCAGGCATGGCAATCCTCGCGTTGCCGATGGTGATTTCCTTCCTTAAGCCTCAGGCATGCAGCCTCTCCCTATTCCGCTCGGTCATTGGCGTAAACCCCAGTCGCTTTCGAGTCACTCGGCGCCATTTCAGAAGAACGACGGTTTCCGCGATAAGCAACTCTGCCTTTCAGCAGCAGCATCAGCACTCCTCGACCGAGCCGAACAGTGAGCCGCCTCGGAAACCCTTAGCCCTCACTTTTCAGCAAGCTATTCAGCGGCTCCAGGTGCATTTTTCATTTGTTTTCCTCATTGGTCACCTTCTTTTCCGTCTCTAATTCAGTATTTTGCATTGCGATCAGTGAGCTGATAGTACTGAGTGTTTTGTAGGATTATTGGGCTTCAGTTGGTTGTGCGGTGATGCAATGTAGTAACACCGAGGTACTACTACACTGCCATCTGTGATTTTGCTTTTTCAATCCGAAAGTTCTGCAGTTGCATACTGCCTAATTGTTTTAATTTCCGACTATACTTATTAGGTTGGTGCTGGGACTATGAATCCTCTCACTTTCTTGAGGGTCCTCGGTCCTGAGCCATGGAATGTGGCGTAAGTTCTTGCACTTTTAGAGGCTTCTATCATTGTTGTCTGGCATTTGTCTGGTTATCTATCTCGTGCTTATGGAGTGACCACGCCGTTTCTTTTTGGTTATTGGGAATATTTCCTGTGAAAGTTACGTAGAGCCAAGCGTTCGACCTGATGATAGTCGTTATGGAGAAAATCCTAATAGGCTTCAGCGCCATACACAATTTCAGGTCATATTGGATTTGTTTTATGGTGTCTAATTTTTGGGTGTTCATGCTGTTATTCAATGTGTCTATAAGTTGTTTTGATGTTTATAATTTGTGTTACTTGTTTGTTTCAGGTTATATTGAAGCCTGATCCTGGAAATTCGCAAGATCTTTTCATTCGCAGTCTCTCAGCTTTAGGTATAATCCCTAATGTGAATGTTCCTGCTTATCATTTGTATATTTACTTAAGAAATTTCTTATGCATTAGAATTTTCCTTTCCTAAGCAAAATTAAATAAAGCTGTCTCTAGGAAATTAGAATGTGAAACAGATTTGAATTAAGGCAGTCTATCGTAAAACCTAACCAGCCCTAGGTTGTAAATATGCACAGAATTTCGGCTAGTTAGGCTCCTCAGATCATAAAAGGAACTTACATTAGTTAGTATGTAACTGCTACCAAAGTTTTTTGTGTACTTTTGTCTTGATAGGTTTGTGTGTGTATTTTTCATTAGGTATGGTTATTTGTGTCTGGTGTTCTTATGGTTCATCTGATTTGGCAGGCATCAACATTAGTGACCATGATATACGGTTTGTGGAGGACAACTGGGAGAGCCCGGTAAGGTGATATGTTTCTTGGAGTACTAATATATTACCATCTGCAAGCCCTTATTGACATGAAAATGGTTGTAGGTACTTGGTGCTTGGGGATTGGGCTGGGAAATCTGGATGGATGGGATGGAAATCACTCAATTCACTTACTTTCAGCAGGTGAATAGCACATCTAGATATGATTTTGCTGATATAGAGTTACAGTATCTGGCATTGTTACTTGCTATGCTGACATTTTGCTTGCCTTGTATCTATTTTCATCTATTTCAAGGCTGGAAGTCTTCAGTTGTCACCAGTATCTGTTGAGATAACTTATGGCCTTGAGCGCATCCTCATGTTGCTTCAGGTTATCGCTATGCTTCTGTAATTATTTTTTTTGTCTTCTCACCTTCATTGACCGTACCATGATATAATCTTTATACTATTTGTTGAAGTTCTTCATACTAACTGTAGGGAGTTGATCATTTTAAGAAGATACAATATGCTGATGGCATTACCTATGGAGAGTTGTTTTCTGAAAATGAGTAAGTTAACAAATTTTCTCCATTTCTGAATTATATACCTTCTTTCTTTGAAGTACATTTTTCATCTATTCTTCCTTCTATCTCCCTGATTTTATTTATGCTTCTGTATTCATTACCAACTCATTATCCGACGTTCTTGATTCCAACGAAGTCTCCCTTTCTTGATCTTATTCTACTAGCAGGCCTCCATCTTAGATGCAAATTCCTCTTTATAATTTTCGGAAAGCTTGTTTGACCATGGATCCTCTCTGTTTCAGGAAGGAAATGAGTGCGTATTACTTGGAACATGCCAGTGTTCATCAGCTTCATAATCACTTTGATCTTTTTGAGGCAGAAGCTCGTTCTCTGCTTGCTTTAGGCTTGGCCATTCCCGCGTAAGTTTTTGCTACATTTCATTTAATCTTACGCCCTGTCAGTTTCACTTCCTTTGAGCTTACTGAACTAGATGTCTGCTTATCTGCATACACCTGGATAACTTTCTCTTGCTCTGTGTTTACCCAATGTGATGTTCGCTTGTCCTACTAGGTATGATCAGCTTCTGAAGACATCTCACACATTCAATATTTTGGACTCTAGAGGATTTGTTGGTGTGACTGAGCGTGCTCGTTATTTTGGTCGAATGCGTAGGTGAGTTATGTATTCTTAAGTAAGATGAACCTTTCGGCTTCTCATAGAGTTGGAAGTAGAAATCAAGCATTCTGCACAACTTTATCTTTCCCATTTTTACGGGGAAGGCTAGCAGCTTTAGGGTTTTATATTTCTGACGCCTAAGTAAGTGTGCCACTTCAACCTCTCTAATCATTACATCATTTTCAAAGAATGATGTCTAGTTATGTTGTTTAGCTAGTGGTTACAAGAAAATAAGAATGATGTCAAGATATATGCCATTGGTTCAATGCTACGAAATCTACTAATTCATTGATGATTTATCAGTTTAGCTCGCCAGTGTGCTCAACTTTGGTCGACAACCAGGGAGTCACTGGGCTATCCGTTGGGTACTGTTTCTGAACCTGCTCATTCTACCTCTACTCAACAGTTTTTGGAGGCAGAGACCAAGACGGTCAGTCTGTTGTACCTTGGAGATCTGTTTCCGTGTTCACTTCAATTACTGTCTTCTATTCTTTAACCTTCTTATTTTCATTTCTTAATTTCATTTTGACCAAGTTTCTAATGTTACTAGGATCCATTTTACGCTGTTTTCTTGCCAATTGTTTAGCTGACCAGTGGATAGTTGATGTTTGATGATTTAACGCTGACAGTCATGATCTATTAGGTCTCTCACTGGCATCAATCCACCCCTCACACATTTACTTACTTCCCAACATACACATGTAAAGCTGAATAGGTTAATGGCGTATATAGTGAAAAGTAATTGTCCAACTTCAGGTGCAACTTGGCGTATGCCAGAACAATTTCAATTCAGTTATCAGGCTTTGAACTTTCAGGGAATGGGTCTTTTGTAGGACGTCACTGCCAGGAGATTTTGATGGTCAATCTTTTATAACTTCCAGCATCAACTATTAGGAGGTCATTTGGTAGCCATGTATTGTCGCATACATGTTTTTTTTTAAAAAGATATCATGTATTTTGTCAACGGACTTTTAAGAATGAATGTAATGTTGGAATGCGATTGTAATGGTGGATTGCATGTGATTCGTTTTACTAAATTTTGGTTGTGATAGTACTACATTAACTTCGGGCATGGTGGGCATTTCATTGATGGAGTTTTCTAAATTGAAATAGAAAAATAGGATACACTGTATAAACTGCCTCAGTCTCAATAGCTCAGGCTTTTGGGTTTAACTTTTTCTTAAGAGATGTATGCATGAGCATTCAGACGTGACAAGTTTGCTTTCATTTGTTTCTGTTTTCCTTTCGAAGCAGGTTCTTGATGACACAAGGTCATTTGTACTCGAAATTGGGACTGAAGAGTTGCCTCCTCTTGATGTTATTTATGGCGGCGAGCAGGTACTATTAATCATTATGCGAAGCCAGGATCTTGAAAAGCTCCACTTCATAGATCCCCTTTAGTTGATACCTTTAGAATACACATGCCTTTTAGTAGCTTCTATTTTGTTCCAACTCACCCTTACTTTGGAAATTAGTGCGAACATTAGCTATAACATGAAATTTAACTTCTTTGATTTTCCATATTTTTCATTCATACTCTTTGGGTTATGAGTTTGTATGATTATCCGTTTACTCTACTCCCTTGTAATTATTAAGATACACCTAATGATGCCCTTGTGTTTGTTCACTCTACAGCTTGAAGGTTTACTACTTCAATTGCTAGATAAACAGAGATTGGGCCATGGGAAAATTCAAGCATTTGGCACTCCTCGCAGATTGGTGGTATTGCTATAAAAGTTCCTGCTCACTTAATGTGCTATTCATGGCTTGCGTCACATCTTTGCTGCAATAAGGGCAGCAAGATGTTTGATTTTTCTGTTCTCAAAATCAGTGCTGTAGGGCTACATATACAGTATTGATTTCAACAATTCTTACATCCTATCAATCAATTGGAAAATTATATGATGCAGCCACCTTTGTCTGCCTACAACTGGTGTTTTCTGGTTGTCTTAGCAACCGGGATAATTTGTTAGCTACTTTACTGTACATCTTTCGTTCTTTTCTTTTTTTCTGTGTGAAATTCCTTTTTGGATTTATATCACAGCCTACTTATGCATTTTACCAGATATTTGTGGAGAACCTTAGCACTAAGCAATCCGAAAGGGAGATTGAGGTTCGGGGTCCCCCCGTTTCAAAGGCTTTTGATGGGCAGGGAAAACCTACGAAGGTATATTTTGGTTTCTGATATCGTTCATCATTTGAGTTAAGGCTTGTGTGGCCTTCAGCTTATATTTTTATCACATAAAAGAAGATAATGACAAACACTGAGCATTTTTCTTTCATATTGAACCAATGTTTTCTTTTGTGGTTCTCCACTCTTTGTAGAAATAGTTGTTTCATATCTTCCTTTCTTTTACGCTTTTCTTTTTCTAGTGTTATTGGGCAAATGCTGCTTCACTTCTTCGGGCACTTAGTTGACTGCATATCATTGCTCATTTCTTCCATCATCTTCTGTATCATTATCGACTGGTGGTATAACATTTATCTTGTGTTTTTTTTTTGCTACCAGGCCGCTGAGGGTTTTTGCCGTAGATACAATGTGTCTCTGGACTCACTATTTAGAAAGGTTGATGGTGAGTCAGATTATCGCATGACTTCTGGGCTTTCAATGATTTCCAGTCTGCTCTCGTAAAAGAAAATTTATTTCCAGCCAGCAGTCGCTTATAGACTGGTTGTGGTGGCTTCACTATCTTAAAGTTGTTAAGGGTCATTTATCAAAAAATTAGATGAGCACTATGTTTAGAAGCATATGCCTAAATATGAATATTTTGGGTCGTTCGATTTTAGTGATAGTTAAATTGACACATTGTCATCAATGCATGCATAATAATATACATGTATATAAGAAAATTGGTGTATTGTAGTTTACATCTTTTGGTTTTTGTGATAGTTATTGAAATAAGTTATATTACTTTTTGGGTGAAATGTCACTTTTACCTTTTGTTTTCAATATTAAAAAACAACACACATAAAATGTAGGGATATAGTTGGAACAAAAGAAAACTCAACAATCTCTACCAAACATTCTCAACCAAAACTTGAGATTTAACTATCACTCATTTTGAGTGATAGTTTGTGTCAAATCAAGCAAACAATTCATGTATTGTTTGTGTAGAAAATTCAAAAAACGATGAATTGTGGACAATGCATGTACTATAATTATCCCAATCAAACTAGCATCAATACCAAACGACCCCGTTGTTTTGGAGAAAACTGATGAAATATTGTGTATATTTATTTAAAAAATGGTGCTTTATTGTTTTACTAAACACAGTTGAATTCATATTCAGAATCTTATTCCACATAATTTGCCTGATTATTGATCACAATTAGCGTGACTTGTTTGTTTATTTATCTGACAGGGAAAACAGAGTATGTTCATATCCATGTGAAGGAAGCTGCACGACTGACATCAGAGGTTGTTATGTGTTAATGTTGATGTCAATGTATCTAGTATCCTTGTACTATTGTAGGAAAACATGCAGATCTGTATTAATTGTTAAGCAAAGCATCCTTTGATGATATATCAGGCTTTGTTTTTCATTATTTAATCGCATGTGGTGATCTTTTTATTTTTTTTCCCTGGGACTTGTAGATCTTATCTGAAGAGTTGCCTGGTATTATCAGTAAATTATCATTCCCAAAGTCCATGCGTTGGAACTCTCAGGTACTGCATGTTGGCTTCACTCTTGATGCATTCTAAACTTTTGGTTTATCCTCCCAATTTTAAACATGCATTGTTATCTTATGATAACTATCTTTCCTGTAGGTTATGTTCAGCCGGCCCGTTCGTTGGATTATGGCCTTGCATGGAGACATTCTGGTTCCTTTCACATTTGCTGGAGTTTTAAGGTAACAGAAATTACATGCTCATTCTCTTCTGTTTTCCTATCACTTAACTGAACTATCTTACTTATTACGGCCAGACACATAAGGAATTTGTTATTGGCACCCCCTTTTGTTAACCATTTGTTGATATAGATGGTATTGTTCTGATCTTTGCCATATGTAAGCCTTGATTCAAGGACCCCTGATGCATTAGTTCAAAAAATTAGATGCCATATGATCAAATGTTGCAGCAGTCTATTTGACTGACATAGTCTGTGCTACTGAATGATCACCCTAGTGCCTAGTGAAATTGCCTCGGAGCAAGCAAGGCTTTCAGTTAATTTGAACAGTGCTACGCCATACAATCTCATTCCAACTGAGGAATAGTTATTCTGTTACTGTTTCTTGTCTCTTCAATATGTGGTTGTATGCAAGACAAAAAGTTATCCTGAAGCCTCTCCATGCATGATTGCAGTGGAAAGCTATCATATGGCCTTCGCAATACCGCTTCAGCTATAATTCAGGTATATGCTAAAGCTAAACATGTTATCTTTTCCCGAGTTAGCTTGTTACTCAGACCTAATTCACTTTTAGGTACTATTTGAGTTGCTCAAAATCTGAACTGAGAGTGCCATACTTGCATCTTTTGGTTGTTGCTAAGAAGTTCACAAGCTGATTTGGAGATGAGATGTTGTGGAATTGGGACCATGTTTCTTCAAAAGTTTCTCCAGTTCTTATCATCCAACTCGGTCTCTATTTTGCCATCGAAGCATAGTCTTACAGATCATTTGCTCATACTGTGGTTATGTATCATGATTTTGATAGACATGAATTTTTTTTTACAGGTTTTAAGTGCTGAATCCTATGCAAGCGCGTTGATGACTGCTGGAATTAATATTGCAATAAAGGTATTGGTTGAAATCCTTATTTCTTCAATTTGCTAGTTCTCTTGAATTGGCTGAAGACCTTCAGCAATGAGAAATTCATATATACTAAAACTTTTATGATACTATGCTCTACCCTACAGGGTCGAAAGCAAAGCATTTTGGAGCAGTCTAATATGTTGGCAAAAAGTGTCAATGGTCATATCTTTGTGCAGGAAAATTTACTCAGCGAGGTGATGGAGTTACCTTCCCTTATGAAGTCCATTAAGATAAGCAGACATGGATGACTAATACTATTTGTGCTTTTTTAGGTAGTAAATCTTGTTGAGGCACCAGTAGCGGTGCTTGGAAAGTTTAAAGAGTCATTCTTGGAGCTCCCAGACGATCTTTTGAAAATGGTAAGATTCTAGACATTAGAGGCCTTAATCCCTAGATTATGTTTCTACCGAAACAACAATCTTATTTGAATTGACTTTATAGCGCTTGGTTAAAATCACAATATGTGATACTCACTGTTCGAGAGACGAGAGCATAGTTTTGTCTAAGCATTTTGGAATCCAATATTTAACATAATATGTGGTATTTTTCGGTCCTGAGCTGGGTTCTTTTGTAGCTGCTACAGTTTTGTGAAGTCGTACTGTTCTGCATTCCTTGATGTTAAATTCTTGATTATTTCACCCGTGAAGCAGTTCTCACGATGAACTATATGAATTTGATACTGAGTTTTGCTTCTAAAACTCCAAAAATTATGTGCAGAAAGGAGGAAATCATTATTCTGTTGTTAGTGTTTACACCAAAACAACATTTTCTATTAAAACACCACAAACTATCTTGGATGTGGGCACATACATAATGGATTGTCTTGATGGTCTGGTTAGGCCTTATTGTGGTGGATAGTAGTTGAATTTATGGTGACCATGTCATGTCATGAATATCATCCAACCCCCAAGTGGATGATATCATCCCATTTCATGGACACCATCCATTAAGAGGTTGGATGATACCATTCCATTTTATGAAAACTATCCAACCCTATCATGGACGTCATCCAATCACTTAGTGGATGGTATTATCGTATCCTACCCGTTAGTAGATGGTACCATCCCATTTTATATTGACACCATCCAATCCCTAAGTGGATGGTGCCATCCAATAACATGGATACAATCCAATTTGTAAGTATGAATACCATTCAACCATTCATGACACAAGGAGGTTGTTAGTGACACGTCAAGGTGGCCTATGAAAATTGTTACTGCGAGCAACAAATGACTACAATGAAGACTCGGAGTGGAGATTGTAGATGTGACGCTGAAACTTCTTTTCGTGAAGACTAGAGAGAGCTGTTGACAACTCTTAACAACAATACTTGAAGCAATTTCTTAGAGAAAGACGGACAATCACAAACACACAAAAAATAACTTGTCTCAATTGTCCCTTTTTTCTTTTTCTTTATAATCATAGTTGTAGAGCTCTCATCCATAGTCGTGATCTTAGTTGTAGTCATGGAGCTCTCAAGAAATCTCCATAGGAGTAGTATAACGTAATATAGGTTACCCATACACCAAACATTCTCGTCCGAATAGTGTTTGAAGAGGTGTGAATTGTAGTAACAATCGTCTTTTCGTAGAAGTTAGCGGGCATTCTATCCACATGTTTTTTCATCGTCATAAAGAAGCTTTAAAATAATCAAAATTTGGTCTTCAGGGAAAATGTGCAATGTTTGGCTGTTGTTGATATGAGGTTTATAATGCCTGGTTCTTCAAGGGCAGCTCTGGTCAAATCTTGATTTTAATCTTGAGGAACCTGTTTAGAATGAATTTAGAGATTGATGCTGCTGCAAGGATAAATTTGGGTTTTGCAACCAAGTTTTAACCAATATGCATAACTTGTGCAGGTCATGCAGAAGCACCAGAAGTATTTTGCAATCATTGATGACAGTGGAAAGCTACTTCCATACTTTATAGCAGTAAACCCAGATTGGCCACATTTTACAATTCATTTGTTTTTTTGCTTCGAATTATAGTGACCGGGCTTCATTACAGGTCGCAAATGGGCCAATAAACGAGCTGGTGGTTAGAGAAGGGAATGAAGCTGTGCTTAGGTTAATGTGAATCTTTCTTAATTTTCCATATTTTTGCTGCGTCAAAGGAATGGTTGACGTATCCTTAATGATGGGTGATGCTCCGAAATATCTTTCTTCAATACATGCTCAATACACCTAAACCTGTAACAATGGTATAGCATGAACTCTTAATTAAGAAACTATTATTAACCTAAAGTTTTTTTTATTCATAAAAACGAAAAAGGGTCTCATGATGGTTTCATTAATTTACCAGAGCACGGTATGAAGATGCTAAATTTTTCTATGGGATGGATACTCGAAGGAAATTCTCAGAGTTTCAAAGTCAGCTGAAAGGGATACTTTTTCATGTAAGTTGTCTGTGCCTATCTTACAATACCTGCAATTTTTCAGGAGACGTCTGCAGATGGCAGCCAGTTATAAGAAATGGAAAGCTGAGTTCTTCACTTACATTTTGTAAGCTCATAGTTTTCTAGCTAGATTGTAGTCAAAATGGCACGCCATAGAATGCTTTCCACTTTGACATGCAAGCAGTGTGCTATTTTTTTACGGAGGTCTGGGATTCATTATGATGGCTGACCAGTTGGTACTGCTTGAGAAGTTTCTATGAGAGATCGTTCCATCTCTGATGGAAGTTGTACTCATCTCTTCACACTTAATAAATCAGGAGAAGCTTGGAACAATGCTTGACAAGGTGGTACGCTTGCAAAATCTTGTTGAAAACTTGGGTTTGGAGTTGGGTATCGCGGAAGATACGCTTCAAATTGTGAAGGATGCTGCGTCACTAGCAATGTCAGACCTTGCTACTGCAGTAGTAACGGAATTCACTGGCCTTTCCGGAATAATGGCACGTCACTATGCTCTAAGGGATGGATACTCAGAGCAGGTGATGGACTCTTGATCGAGCACTTTTCATGTCTCTTATCCTTCTTCTTCTTGACATGTTTTTATCCCTTTGTTTACACTGGTCGAGTCTCATGGCTTCTTCAGTGGAGTTATTTCCTGGTACTGCATTTGTTAATGCTGAAATTAACTTCTTGTGCTTCATGCTTTCTGTTGTAGCAGATTGCAGAGGCATTGTTAGAAATCACACTTCCAAGATTTTCTGGGGATAACGTTCCGAAAAGCGATGCAGGCATTGTTTTAGCAATTGCTGACAGGTGAAATATGGATGTACTCTGTTTATCGTGTATATCTTTGTTGAGTCTCTGGTCTTAGCCTTGCTCATTCATTGCTGAAGAGGTTTGAAATATCTGTTTTCAGACAGAATTATTAAAAGCATCCAATTACTGTTATATGAACCGCGTTCCTGCTTCTGGATGTACTGCATATTTTATGTTCTCTCTTGCTAGGCAATTATCGGCCTCTTGGCTGAGCTCTTCTATTTTTACGTTACCTTGCAGATTGGACAGCCTTGTGGGTTTATTTGCTGCTGGATGCCAGCCTAGTTCTACTAATGACCAGTTTGGCCTGAGAAGAATCTCGTATGGTCTGGTAAGAACAATCTGTCATCTTCACTCATTAAAAAAGAAAAAAATTGTAAATTAAGTGTGTTCTTTCTGTTTTGCAGGTTCAAATATTAGTAGAAAGGGAGAAAAATTTGGATTTGCTTCATGCTATAAAACTTGCTGCTGCTTTGCAACCAATACACGTGGATGCTCAAATAATAGATGATGTGAGTATTGTCAATTTTTCATTCTCTCTGACACTCATTGGATTGTGCACGAGGAATCAAGTAGTTTTTGAATGGACCAGATTCTGGATCGTTTGCTAAAGAATTTGTGTCCGCCGACCCACCTAGGAAAGTGAAGGAGCTGCTTATAGGGAGAGAACCCCTGATGATTGCTTACAACTAGGATGGCAATTACCCATCCATGGGTAATTTTACCCAAACCCAAATAAATCCATTGATTATGGTTAGGGTGTGAATAACTGAATATTGCTTCCTAATGTATATATACCCCTATAGTTTAGGGTGTTATTACTACACATACAAAAAATTGGACCTATTTGTAAAACTTAAAAAATTTAGGTATGAAAATGTAGTATATAAAATTTAGGTACTAAAATGTACTTTCCATCAATATGTTGAGGACTTATATGCAAAAAAAATTAGGTACTAAATCTAAAGATCTATTAAATTTAGGTATCAAATTGTAATTTGCAAATGAATATGTGTACAAATCCATGGATTAAAAATCCAACCCAATCCAAATAAATGGCAATGGGTACAAAACCATCAAAATCTACCCATTTACAATCTCTTAACAGCTCAGGCTTGACAAGAATGCAAGATTTGCTTCAGATTTTGGGTTTTTCTCTCTTTCAACTAGATAACGATTTGTTTCTGGAGTGTGAAAAAACAGCTTATTGTCATGGCATTCTCCTTGCCATTTTTGAATTGAATGTCTCCTTGGTATCTATGCTTAAACTCTTACTACATCCCTAAAACCTTGATTTCCTTTCATGAGGTCATTAGGATCACTTCATTTGAATATGGACGTAAGAGTACCTGAAAGAAGAAATTGATATGAGAATGTGACAGCTGATCTCTGTCTTGGTCTCAGGCACATGCATTTGTTACTCGAAGACTAGAGCAATTTTTGGTAACTGTGCAATCTTGGATTATAATTTTCTCCTAATTACCATAATGTTTGTTTTTCCTGATAGTTTCTTCATATAAAACTATTACTATGACCGCCAGGTTGACAAGGGAATAAGTCCTGAATTCGTCCGTTCAGTACTGGCTGAGCGTGGGAACTCTCCTTATGTCGCTGCAAAAACAGCATTCAAAGTGAGTTTGCTTTATCACTCCTTAGCATCACTATTATGTTCGATAATTTCCGTTATTACAATTTTTCGAAGAGCAGAAGTGCGAACGAGGGCTTGGTCTTCAACCTGGATGTCCATGTTTAAATCCTTAAATGTCACCTAATAATAAAAACTAATTTGTCACCCTTAATAAAAAAAATGAGTTGCCAATCAGTTTGCAATAAAAAAAGCTGTCAGGTGATAGATTACGGAGTAAATAATTATTTTCCCCCCCAGATGCGAGCGTTGTCAGAAGATCATCTTTTTCCTAAGGTGGTTGAAGTGTATTCTCGTCCAACAAGAATAGTGCGAGGAAAGGATTATGATTCGAGTTATGAGGTGTGTCTGCTTCCCTCTGATAGTATATGAACTTGAATTTCCTGTTTCTTTATTGCATCTTAAAATATCAATTCTTCTTTGTTCTTTCTTGCACATGACTCATTATATCGTTGTTGATGTACATCTTGTGTTGTATATGAATGCCTGAAATTGATACACATCATTCATAAACGAAGAAGTTGGAGATCAATGACATATATGATATCCCTTTGTTCTTTGTTCTGATAGGTGGATGAAACGAAGTTCGAGACAAATGAAGAGAGAGGCTTGTGGAATGCTCTCTTGTCGACGAGAAGCAAAATTCACCCTGGTACTCTTGCCGCATTTCAGAACTTGTTATCGTTCTTGCCTATCTTCTAGTTGTGGTGTTGCAAGGAGCTCCTAGATGTAGCTTGTTTGTTGTTTTTTTTAAGCGGGCATGACATGAAGCTCATCATGTTGCAGGTATCGAGGTTGATGAATTTATTGAAATTTCTGCGGAGCTGTTACAGCCACTTGAGGATTTCTTCAATAATGTCTTCGTCATGGTGGTACGTTTCCTGCATAAAGTTGTGAGACCTTTGTCAATTGTTGTGGTATCGCATTTTACATCTTAGTGATTCATTGTCGTTTTTGGCAATTGGATGAGAGCAGGAAGATGAAAGCATACGAAAAAACAGGCTTGCTCTACTTAAGAGAATCGCGGACCTTCCAAGAGGCATAGCAGACCTCTCAGTCTTGCCCGGGTTTTAGTGCAACTTCTTTCAAAATGAACTACATTACTTCTGACCTTACAAAAAGAAAAAGAACTGCATTACTTCAGCCAAGAATGGAAGTTTCTATGAGAGGGGAAAAGATGGAGAGATCTGTATAAAGAGTCGAGAGTTTTATCGAACCATTGGCTGATTCTAGAGCTACAGTAGAGCAATTCGGTGTATCATGTATACTATTATGTACAACTATTCTTAACGTTGATCTTTCATTGCATAGTATTTGTACATATCATCCCTCTCTCTTATCTTTATCAGTGCACTCAGTTCAGTGGGTGGTCGGGTTGACGGGCTCTTAATGTGCAGCTTTTGTGATCAAGCTTCATGGACCATGGCCACTCCCTCGAGGTATGCAAAGGGTTTAAGTGGAGAATGGGGTTAATTGCATCGGTTGTCACTTAAGTTTACGTTCTGTTGCACGGTGACCACATAAGTGTGTTTTGTTGCACATAAATCATTTACGTCGAATAATAGTTGCAACGTTAACATTTCCGTCAATAGAATGAATAGTAGGTACCTAAAATTAATTTTCCCCGCCAGTACACGTCATCGCCTGACTGAGTCAGATCGGACCCACTATATAAATGGGCCTCTTACTTGCATCGTTACCCCTTTTTCGAATTCCAAATCACGATTCCGGCGAAACAATTGGAGAGCTAGCGAGCGACGACAATGAAGCTGAGTGCAAAGACGTCAAATGTGGCGGGAATTGACGACTCACTGGTGATGAAAGTTCTGGATCAAGAACCAAAGATGCTCCCTTGTTACACATCTTCTTCTCCGCTCTCTCCGTGGCTCTCAACTCTTGGCACCCCCTCGATTGGGGCGTTCAATGGGCGTCACGCCTTCAATCAAGCAAAAATCTCAAAGAAAAGTTTGTTCTACTGCAGCAGGAAAGGGAGCAGGTAGTTGCATTAAAAAGGAGAAGGTGGTCGAAAGAGCTTGCCAAGAGTTCCCCTCACAAGCACAGCTCCATTTACAGAGGGTCAGCAGGTGGATAATTATATCATTATCCCGTCATTTATCTCTAATATGTAGTCAATTAAATATATGGCAATGGAGAATTGCAGAACTAATTATGGTTGGCGCCGACGGTGATGTGAGCGCAGCCACCGGTGGACTGGGCGGTACGAAGCCCATTTGTAGTATAAGAAGTGAATAGCTATTTGCCGCCCGTATATTTACTATTTGCGGCCCGTAGTTAAAAATAAAAAGTCTATTTTGCCCTTCGATAAATTAAAAATACCCAAACCTTTTGCTGCCGCCGCCGTGTCTTGGAATCGTTGGCCGAATTTGGCTGCCGTCGTTGAGGAGAAAGGAACTTATCGGCCAGGTCTCTAAAAATGGAATTGCCGGCCTCATCTTCCTCTTTTTTCTTCCTCAAATCCCGACTACGATTAAGCCTCACCTTCCTCTCTTTTTTCCCTGCAATTCCCGGCGAGGATGGGTGGTTCGACTATCAGACGGGGAAGTGTGGTCGTCGCCGGCGTACAGACGGAGATGGGTGGTCCGACGCATGCAATCGGACGGGGTCCGCCCTCTCACGTCGGACGGGGTCCACTCGTCGGCGACGGACGGGGTCCACTCGTCGGCGACGGACGGGGTCCGACCTCTCACGTCGGACGGGGTCCGCCCTCTCACGTCGGACGGGATCTGCTCGCCGGCGTCTGACGGGGTCCGCCCTCCGACGTCGGACCGGTGTTGGCTTCAAACCTGTCGCCGGTGACTATTTCTTTCCCACAAATTCTCGAATTAAATACCAAAATTCTCTAATTAACCCACATATATATTTGTTTCCCTAATTAACAACCATCGATAATGGTGGAAATAATTAAATGAGATAACATGGAAATAGTTTTAATTAACACGTCCAATTCCATTTCCCTAATTGACAGCAGAAAAAAATTTCCTTAACTAACACGTCTTCCCTTAATTAACACATATAATTGGCATCCGAAAAAAATGTCAATTCCCTCCTAATCCATCTTACGGCAGAATTTTAAGCAATTATTAATTATTTATTAATATTTGAGTGATCTAATCATTTCCTTTTTTTCAAAATTATTGATTATCTTCTTAATTAAAACCGAAAATCCATTTTCCTAATTAACAACCGAGAATTCATTCCCTAATTAAATCCTTAATTCTATTTCCCTAATTAACTAATTAGAGCCGAACAAAACTTCCTAAAAAAAAACGGATAATGATTATTTCCATAATTAACAATTGAAAATAATTTCGTATACCTTTAAATCTTACTAAAATGGGGCGTGATTTCCGCAATATTAAAGAGTGATTTTTCCTTCGTGATTTTCGTAACCACCATCCTTGGAGATCCGGCAATTAAATTAATTTTTAATTAATTTCATACCATAAGCTCCTACTAATTATCTCGTACATAAGGTAATTCTGTGGGGCTTTGTAATTTGTTCCCCTTCCATTATCATTTAATATAATAATAAATAATATTATTAATCACTTCTTTCCAATTAACCTCCTTCAATTATTAAAAAAAAAAATTAAACTCCTTCAGACTTTGCTTCCCGTGGAATACTCTCTCCCTCCTCTCCTTCTCCATCTCGACTTTCAGACATGGTCCGCGCAGGGAGATCGGACGTGGTCCGCGCAGGGAGATCGGACGTGGTCCGACGCCGGAGATCGGACGGGGTCCGACCGCCGACATCGGACGGGGTCCGACCGCCGGCGTCGGACGGTGGCGGCAGCAGGTGGTGGTCTGGCGGCGGCAGGTGGTGGTCTGGCGGCGCGGCGGTTTGGCAGCGGCGCGGCGGTTTGGCAGCGGCGCGGCTGTCAAACGGCGGCTGAGGTGGTCTCATTCGATGGCTCCGGCGATGGTGGTTTGACGGCGGTGATGGTCGGCCGGCGATGGTGGTCGGCCGGCGGTGGTGGTCGGCCGGTAGTGGTGGTCAGCCTACTATGGTGATATGGTGATAGTGTGAGTGTGATGAAAGAAGTGTTGATAGGGGCAAAAAAGTCATTTTAATTTAATACGCGGGCGGCAAATAGTAATGACACGGGCGGCAAATAGTAACCCTCTATAAGAATTGTTCGAACGAGTCCAGGAAAAAAGGGGCAGACACAAAAGGTGACGTGGACTATTGACAGGATATGGAAAATTAATTTTAGGTACCTACCGTTAGTTTTATTGACGAAAATGGTAACGTTGCAACTGTTATTCGACATAAATGATTTATATGCAACAAAACGCACTTAGGTGGTCACTGTGCAACAAAAGGTTAACTTAAGTGGCAACCGGTGCACTTAACCCTGGAAAATGTAAGCGCTGGTCTCGAGATCATTAGTTAGATGACTATCTTAAGATATCATGATTAATGCACCATACCTTATTGGTGCAAATTGGGATGGTAAAGTTTTGACTCGCTACGGACTACAACGCGAATTAAATCCCGATTAGATCCCAAGTAGAAACTCTAGTCATGTGCAATATAGGAAAATATGTTTTAATTGTCAAACCCGAGCCGGTCCATGTACACTTCAATCACTTAGTTTGTTATCTAGCCAATGTGTTTGGGTTTAAAACTAAGAAAACTACAAATGAAAACAAGCAAGTAAAGTAAATCGATGTTGTCCCAATGAGAGGAGTTCACCCGGGTATTGCTCCCCTAGTTACATATCAAGATCGCCCAAATTGAATGCAAATGTGTGGAGGTGTGCAATGTAGTCAAAAGCTAGCTTTAAATCCTAAAAGCCTACACTTTTACGCTTTGGAACCCCCAAATATTGTAGCTTTTGTTCAAAAAGTCTTTTGCATCAAAAGCCCAAGTAAAAGCCCTCAATCCCAGTAAAAGCCTTAGAAGCTAGCTTTTGACCACTTCTCTACGCTTTTGATATTCGAGTATGAGGATCATATTTGGTCGTGTTTGGTTCAATTTTTTGGACAAAAGAGAAAAATGATGCTGTCTTATTTGTTTTCTAGTCAGGTTATCCTTTCAATCTTTGCTTTTATGAATTTAGCATCCCTAATTCACCGCCACTTTTCCACATTCTCATATTTTCTCGGCCTCCAAAACCACATGCCACATCCAAAGTCCTGCCTCCAACTCTTTTCCCATAGTTTCCCGCAACGTGCATCCAACTTCCTCTTACTAGGCTCCCACTGCGACAATAACTTGGACATCTTCATCCGATGCATCAACCCTCCCCATCCCTATAACTCCTATCCCACCTCTATGACTATGTTGTCGTCAAAGCTCATCTCCTTTAGCCTCACATTTCGCCACTTTCACTTATTAGTGGAGCTTGTCTATAGCCCTTCTAGCTTCATCATTTGTTATTGGTATCCTTTCTCATATTTTTATAGAAAGCAATAGGAAGGTGGTGAATTCTTGTTTAAAGGCATATTAATTTTGTTTACGTTTATGAGAGTAATATGTTAAATGAGCTAATTCATCTCTATATTCATATTTTGCATAATACAAGTTATTGTTACAATATTTATATTAAAATTATATGATGTGCAAAAGCTTACGCTTTCAAGCTTCGCTTTTGCGCTTCCGCTTTTACCCATCATTTCGCTTTTACCTAGAATCTAGACTTTGACTGCATTGGAGGTGTGTTACTACACCGTAGGAAGGCGCAACAAGTGAAGGAAACCTCACTCTCTTAATAAATCGTTTAAGGAAAACAATTAAGCTAGGAACATTAGCTCTCTCAATCAATGAATTAAGGATTGCTACAATAAACTAAGGAGTCTAGCTCTCTTAACCTTTCGGCTAAGGATTGCAACAATAAGCCAACAGTCCTAGCTCTCTTAACCGATAAAACTCAGGGTTGCAAAACCAATCCCTCGAAACTTAATCTGGACGACAAAGTAGCACCCAAGTTAAAGTGCTAAATCGAAGTTTAAGATTTACCCTAATTTGCCCTAGGTATGTGACTCAATCGGCCAAGGAATCCAGCTCATCGAAACCTCCTAACAAAAAGGGGAATTCCCTCTACCTCTGGTCAAATTGGCATAATAATGAGAAATGAAGAACATAACCCAAATATCATTAAAATACCTCAAACTTTGCATTAAACACAAACTCACAGACATAGCATTCAATTCTTATAATCTATCACCTATTTCAAACTAGGGTTCACAACACCCAAGTGAAGAGGTAGGCTATTCCATAGTTAGGCAAAGGAAATCAACTAAAATGAGAGAAAGAACCATGAAGAGATGACAATCTTCCTTCCTTGAGAAGAAAAAACCTTCAATCCCCTAGTTTAGGGCAAGCCCAAATCTCCTTCTTCCTCCTTTGAATGACACTTTCTCTCTCTAGAATAGGAAGAGAAAACCCTAATCTCTCACTAGAAATCCCCTTTTATTCTTAAAATTAAAACTCTACCAAAAGTTCTCCTTCTTTTCCTTCAGCTCACTTCCCCTTTTATACCCAGATCGACGCCTGTTCACGGTCCCAGTTCACGGTCGTGAACATTCGTCCTAGACTGTGAAGTCTAGCAGATTCGCAACGTTTCACTTAGTCACTTCACGGTCTGGGGCTGGAGTTCATGATCTTGCGACCGTGAACTGGTTGGGCTCCAGTGAGATGGCAAACTGTTATGGAACCTCCGCGCTTCACGATCTTGGGGCAATTGTCACGGTCTTTGAA